TGTATAGTGGTGTAGTGTATAGTGTAGTGTATAGTGTAGTGTATAGTGTAGTGTATAGTGGTGTAGTGTATAGTGGTGTAGTGTATAGTGGTGTAGTGTATAGTGGTGTAGTGTATAGTGTAGTGTATAGTGGTGTAGTGTATAGTGGTGTAGTGTATAGTGGTGTAGTGTATAGTGTAGTGTATAGTGGTGTAGTGTATAGTGTAGTGTATAGTGGTGTAGTGTATAGTGGTGTAGTGTATAGTGGTGTAGTGTATAGTGGTGTAGTGTATAGTGTAGTGTATAGTGTAGTGTATAGTGGTGTAGTGTATAGTGGTGTAGTGTATAGTGGTGTAGTGTATAGTGGTGTAGTGTATAGTGTAGTGTATAGTGGTGTAGTGTATAGTAGTGTAGTGCATAGTAGTGTATAGTGTGGTGTATAGTGTAGTGTATAGTAGTGTATAGTAGTGTGGTGTATAGTGTGGTGTATAGTGTAGTACAGTGAGGGAAAAAAAAGTATTTGATCCCCTGTTGATTTTGTACGTTTGCCCACTGACAAAGAAATGATCAGTCTGTAATTTTAATGGTAGGTTTATTTGAACAGTGAGAGACAGAATAACAACAAGAAAATACAGAAAAACGCATGTCAAAAATGTTATAAATTGATTTGCATTTAAATGAGGGAAATAAGTATTTGACCCCCTCGCAATCAGAAATATTTCTGGCTCCCAGGTGTCTTTTAAGGGAGTGCTCCTAATCTCAGCTTGTTACCTGTATAAAAGACACCTGTCCACAGAAGCAATCAATCTGATTCCAAACTCTCCACCATGGCCAAGACCAAAGAGCTCTCTAAGGATGTCAGGGACAAGATCGTAGACCTACACAAGGCTGGAATGGGCTATAAGACCATTGCCAAGCAGCTTGGTGAGAAGGTGACAACAGTTGGTGCGATTATTCGCAAATGGAAGAAACACAAAAGAACTGTCAATCTCCCTCAGCCTGGGGCTCCATGCAAGATCTCACCTCGTGGAGTTGCAATGATCATGAGAACGGTGAGGAATCAGCCCAGAACTACAGGGGAGGATCTTGTCAATGATCTCAAGGCAGCTGGGACCATAGTCACCAAGAAAACAATTGGTAACACTACGCCGTGAAGGACTGCAATCCTGCAGCGCCCGCAAGGTCCCCCTGCTCAAGAAAGCACATACATGCCCGTCTGAAGTTTGCCAGTAAACATCTGAATGATTCAGAGGACAACTGGGTGAAAGTGTTGTGGTCAGATGAGACCAAAATGGAGCTCTTTTGCATCAACTCAACTCGCCGTGTTTGGAGGAGGAGGAATGCTGCCTATGACCCCAAGAACACCATCCCCACCGTCAAACATGGAGGTGGAAACATGCTTTGGGGGTGTTTTTCTGCTAAGGGGACAGGACAACTTCACCACATCAAAGGGACGATGGACGGGGCCATGTACCATCAAATCTTGGGTGAGAACCTCCTTCCCTCAGCCAGGGCATTGAAAATGGGTCGTGGATGGGTATTCCAGCATGACAATGACCCAAAACACACGGCCAAGGCAACAAAGGAGTGGCTCAAGAAGAAGCACATTAAGGTCCTGGAGTGGCCTAGCCAGTTTCCAGACCTTAACCCCATAGAAAATCTGTGGAGGGAGCTGAAGGTTCGAGTTGCCAAACGTCAGCCTCGAAACCTTAATGACTTGGAGAAGATCTGCAAAGAGGAGTGGGACAAAATCCCTCCTGAGCTGTGTGCAAACCTGGTGGCCAACTACAAGAAACGTCTGACCTCTGTGATTGCCAACAAGGGTTTTGCCACCAAGTACTAAGTCATGTTTTGCAGAGGGGTCAAATACTTATTTCCCTCATTTAAATGCAAATCAATTTATAACATTTTTCACATGCGTTTTTCTGGATTTTGTTATTCTGTCTCTCACTGTTGAAATAAACCTACCATTAAAATTATAGACTGATCATTTCTTTGTCAGTGGGCAAACGTACAAAATCAGCAGGGGATCAAATACTTTTTTCCCTCACTGTACATAGAGACCCGTAGAGATAGATAGAGACCCATAGAGACACATAGAGATGCATAGAGACCCATAGAGATACATAGAGACCCAAAGAGATACATAGAGATGCATAGAGACCCACAGAGAAACAGAGACCCATAGAGACACATAGAGATACATAGAGACCCGTAGAGATCATAGGGACCCATAGAGACACATAGAGATACATAGAGACACATAGAGATACATAGAGACCCATATAGATGCATAGAGACCCACAGAGATACATAGAGACCCATCGAGACACATAGAGACCCATAGAGACCCATAGAGACACAGACCCTTAGAGACCCATAGAGATACATAGAGACCCATAGAGATACATAGAGATGCATTGACCCATAAAGATGGCTAGAGATACACATAGAGACCCATACAGACCCTTGGAGATACATAGAGATACATAAAGACACACAGAGACACGTGGAGGCCCATACAGACCCATAGGGATACATAGAGACCCATAAAAACCCATAGAGATACATAGAGACCCATACATAAACTAAACTGTTTATGTTACCAGGTAAGGCTCCACTGAACTGCTGTGTAGCATCTTGTTTCAGAAGCCACCTGGGCCATTACAACATCATAGCAGCTCAACCACGTGGCTTGGCATCATCGTCATCATCACCACGTGGACATTGATAGCAGCTCAACCACGTGGTTTAGCATCGTCATCATCACCACGTGGACACTGATAGCAGCTCAACCACGTGGCTTAGCATCATCGTCATCATCACCACGTGGACATTGATAGCAGCTCAACCACGTGGCTTAGCATCGTCATCGTCGTCACCACGTGGACATTGATAGCAACTCAACCACGTGGTTTAGCATCGTCATCATCGTCACGTGGACATTGATAGCAGCTCAACCACGTGGCTTAGCATCCTCATCATCATCACCACGTGGACATTGATAGCAGCTCAACCACGTGGCTTAGCATCGTCATCATCACCACGTGGACATTGATAGCAGCTCAACCACGTGGTTTAGCATCGTCGTCATCGTCATGTGGACAATGATAGCAGCTCAACCACGTGGTTTAGCATCGTCACCATCATCATCACCACGTGGACATTGATAGCAGCTCAACCACGTGGCTTAGCATCGTCATCGTCAGCAGCCAAATACTCTAAAAGGCATGGTGGTGACGATGATTCTAAATGTGGAGTTGGAAAATCCGGAGAGAAAAATCCACGCGGCCACCACGGGGAGAGAGAGACGCAGACTCCAAATATACAGCAGCAGGCATTGTTAGGGTTGGGATCTAACCCACGACCTCCTGTATACCAGGCGAGGTAGTTAACATCTCATAGCCACCGTGATTATGAGAGAGAAAGACTCAGGCTCCAGATGTACAGCAGCAGGCATCGTCAGGGTCGGGATGGACCCCACGGACTCCGGTATACCAGGCGAGGTAGTTAACATTTCATAGCCACTGTGATGATGAGAGAGGGAGAGAGACGCAGACTCCAGATGTACAGCAGCAGGCATGGTCAGGGTCGGGATGGAACCCACGACCTGTGTACCCGGCGAGGTAGTTAACATCTAGCCACTGTGATGATGAGAGAGAGAGAGATACGCAGGCTCCAGATGTACAGCAGCAGGCATTGTTAGGGTTGGGATCTAACCCACGACCTCCTGCGTACCACGCGAGGTAGTTAACATCTCATAGCCACCGTGATGATGAGAGAGAAAGACTCAGGCTCCAGATGTACAGCAGCAGGCATGGTCAGGGTCGGGATCTAACCCACGACCTCCTGCATACCAGGCGAGGTAGTTAACATCTCATAGCCACCGTGATTATGAGAGATAAAGACTCCGGCTCCAGATGTACAGCAGCAGGCATTGCTAGGGTTGGGATTTAACCCACGACCTCCTGCGTACCAGGCAAGGTAGTTAACATCTCATAGCCACCGTGATTATGAGAGATAAAGACTCAGGCTCCAGATGTACAGCAGCAGGCATCGTCAGGGTCGGGATCGAACCCACGACCTCCTGTATACCAGGCGAGGTAGTTAACATTTCATAGCCACTGTGATGATGAGAGAGAGAGAGACGCAGACTCCAGATGTACAGCAGCAGGCATGGTCAGGGTCGGGATGGAACCCACGACCTGTGTACCCGGCGAGGTAGTTAACATCTAGCCACTGTGATGATGAGAGAGAGATACGCAGGCTCCAGATGTACAGCAGCAGGCATTGTTAGGGTTGGGATCTCACCCACGACCTGCGTACCAGGCGAGGTAGTTAACATGTTAACATCTCCTAGCCACCGTGATGATGAGAGAGAGACGCAGACTCCAAATGTACAGCAGCAGGCATGGTCAGGGTCGGGATGGAACCCACGACCTCCTGTGTACCAGGCGAGGTAGTTAACATCTCCTAGCCACTGTGATAATGATGAGAGAGAGACGCAGGCTCCAGATGTACGGCAGCAGCAAGGTTGGGTGTTGGAGCGGACGCATGAAGGCTCGGCTGTTCGTCGCCGCAGATGTTCGCCGTGTGACCATGTGACCAGTGTGACCGTGTGACCATGTGACCAGTGTGACAGTGTGACCAGTGTGACCAGTGTGTGACAGTGTGACCATGTGACCAGTGTGACAGTGTGATCAGTGTGACCAGTGTGACCAACGTGACCGTGTGACCAGTGTGACAGTGTGACCAGTGTGACCAACGTGACCGTGTGACCAGTGTGACCGTGTGACCGTGTGACCAGTGTGACAGTGTGACCAGTGTGACCATGTGACCAGTGTGACCAGTTTGACCAGTGTGACCAACGTGACCGTGTGACCGTGTGACCAGTGTGACAGTGTGACCAGTGTGACCATGTGACCAGTGTGACCAGTTTGACCAGTGTGACCAACGTGACCGTGTGACCAGTGTGACCAGTGTGACCATGTGACCAGTGTGACCATGTGACCGTGTTGCAGCGCTTTCCTTGGGAGGGGACGACCCCGGCAAGCTGCGACGCCCACGGGGAACTCCTCCAGGGTGGACTCTGCCAGGGTGGATTCCTCCTCCAGGGTGGACTCCTCCAGGGTGGACGACTCCGCCAGCATCACCCCATTTGGAGTGGACGACCCCGACGGAGGGCTGGGACGCAGAGATGGACATCGCCGCACTCTGGTACGCAGCCCAAGGGCCCGAGCCTTAAACCCTAGGCCCTAAACCCTCCATCCTAGGCCCTAAGCCCTCCACCCTAGGCCTGAGGCCCCATGCTCTGGGCCATAAGCCCCTCCACCCTAGGCGCTAATGCCTAGGCCCCCTAAGTGCTCCACCCTAGGCCTGAGGCCCCATGCTCTGGACCATAAGCCCCTCCACCCTAGGCCCTATGGCCAATCAGCCTAGGCCCTAAGCCCCTCCACCCTAGGCCCGAAGCCCTTCCACCCCAGGCCCTAAGCCCCTCCATCCTAGGCCCTAAGCCCTAACCCCTCCACCCTAGGCCCTAAGCTCCTCCACCCTAGGCCCTAAGCTCCTCCACCCGAGGCCCTAAGCCCCTCCACCCTAGGGCCTAAGCTCCTCCACCCGAGGCCCTAAGCCCCTCCACCCTAGGCCCTAAGCTCCTCCACCCTAGGCCCTAAGCCCCTCCACCCTAGGCCCTAAGTTCTACCCTAGGCCCTAAGCCCCTCCACCCCAGGTCCTAAGCCCTCCACCCTAGGCCCTAAGCCCTCCACCCTAGGCATTAGACCCCATGCTCTGGGCCTTAAGCCCTCCACCCTAGACCCTAAGCCCTAAACCCTCCAGTCTAGGACAGAGGCCCCAGCCTCTGGGCTCAAAGCCCGAGGCCGTAAGTCCTAGGCCTGAGGCCCCAGGCCTGAGGCCCCAGGCCTTAGGCCCTAAGTCCTCAGCCCTAAGCGGGAGCTCGCTACTTACAGCACTCGCCCCAACAGTCTGTTAAAGGCCATACAAGGGGATCTTTGTTTTTTTTTGTGTACATGTGTGTGTGTTCCGTACGTGTGTTCCGTGCGTGTGTGTGTGTATGTATTGGGCCGGTAGGCTAGCAGTTAGCGCTACGCTGCGCTACGAACCAGGCGGCCCGAGTTTGATTTCCGCTCACGTCCAACACCAGCGACGATGATCTAAACCGGTTCTGGGCCTCCCCTAGGTCGACTCGGCCTCAAATGAGTAGCTGGTGTGGCGTGTAGTAAACATCGCCACTGGGGAGACAAAGGCGGTCGGGCGTGGCGCTGGCCACCCACCCCCTCGTGTGCCGTGCCGGCCTCCATAGATTCTACACACAGCACTTTTCCCAGCAGTCTGTTGAGGCTACACAGAGGAACCTTTGTCTTTGTATGTGCGAGTGTTTATGTGTGGGTGTGTGTGCGTGGGTGTGCGTATGCGCGTGGGTGTGTGCGGGTGGATGGGTGTGCATGCGTGGGTGTGTGGGTCTGTGTGTGTGTGTGCAGTGCGTGTGTGTGCAGTGCATGTCCCCCGTGTCTCCGCTCCCTCCTCACGTGATGGACCCGGACGTCTGGGACTCGGCCTCGGATGTCAGCGAACTGGAGGACTCGGACAACTCGGCAGACACATAGAGACACACGCAGAGACACGCACGCAGAGACACACGTAGAGACGCAGACACACACGTAGAGACACGCAGAGACACACGCAGAGACACAGACAACAACCACCATTCGCCACTAAGTGGCGGTGACGTCACCATGACGCTTGTGCCAAACTATGTGTACCTTGAGGCCACGTGAAGTGTTGAATGCCCGCTGGCAGGAGGTCACGGGGCAGACCCAGGTACCACGGGTCGACTGACTGAGATGACTGGCTGATGCACCACCTGTGCTCCCAACTGTGCCAACCTGCTGTGCTTTAGTCACCCGGCGCTCCGCTCGTTGTTGTGAGCGTCGCTCCTCTGCCGTTCGTTGTTGCTGGAGGGCGACTGCCTCCAACTGCCCAGTAGCCTCACGGTGCACCTAGCCTGGCACTGCCCAATGACAGCGTCTTTCACGAGCCTCCTCCACAGAGGCCGATCTTGACACCGCTGGTACCAGTCATCGGCAAGTCCACTCAGCTCCACGTCCTCCTGTACCACATCACTCCATCTCTTCTCTAGCCCGTGCCGCGCCCATTTAGCCCCCTCGATTCGGCTGAACAAAAGCTGTTAAGGCATGCGGTGGCTGGGCATGCGGGCTACATGACCCAGCCAACACAGAGACAGACACACGCAGAGACAACCAACAAGAACCGCCTTTCGCCACTAAGTGGCAGTGACGTCACCACGACGCTTGTGCCAGGCTATGTGCACCTTGAGGCCACGTGAAGTGTTGGAACGCCCGCTGGCAGGAGATCACGGGGCAGACCCAGGTGCCACGGGTCGACTGACTGAGATGACTGAGATGACTGGCTGATGCACCACCTGTGCCCCCTACTGTGCCAACTTGCTGTGCTTTAGCCACCTGGCGCTCCGCTCGTTGTTGTGAGCGTCGCTGCTCCGCCCTCCATTGTTGTTGGAGGGCGACTGCCTCCCAACTGCCCAGTAGCGTCCTTCACGAGCCTCCTCCACAGAGGCCGATCTTGACACCGCTGGTACCAGTCATCGGCAAGTCCACTCAGCTCCACATCCTGTACCACGTCACTCCATCTCCTCTGTAGCCCTTGCTGCGCCCATTTAGCCCCCTCGATCCGGCCAAACAAAAGCTGTTTCGGCATGCGGTGGCTGGGCATGCGGGCTACATGACCCAGCCAATGCAGCCTTGCCTGCCGGAGGAGCTCACCGATGGACATTTGTCCAGATCTTTCAAGGATTTGTGAGCTCACAATCCAGCCTGCAGGTTAAACACAGGATGGATCCTAGCCAGGGCAGCCTGCATGTTTCTAACCGGCGAAGATGTTCTATTAGGGGGGGTTCACGTTTCGCAAGCATAGAGAAGGGAGGGCGTGACTGTGGCCGAGAAGACCCGAAGCTTCGTGTGGAGCGACAGACCAGGTAGCTTCCACACGGCAGCGTTACGCAGCCAATTAAAAGATAATGCCGCTCGACAGATTCGGAGCGAGACCTCTGCTGTCAAACCTGGAGCCGGTCATGAGCACACTGCCCAGGTGTGCGAATTTAAATTTAATTTAACTTTTATTTTTATCGTGGTTTTTTGCTTTTATAAAAAGGAAAAATTGCTTTCTATCTACGTGACTTTACCGAAAGAACCAGGAATAACACATCCTCCTGCGGAGGGAGCTGGTAGGAACGTTGGGTTGCTCGGTCAATGGCCAGGGTCATCGGCGGCACCATGTGGTGTACTCCGCAAATTTGCCCGACTGTGAGGGCGGGCACAAGCCGGCGTGAGTAGGTTACAGTGAGGGTAAAAAGTATTTGATCCCCTGCTGATTTTGTACGTTTGCCCACTGACAAAGAAATGATCAGTCTATCATTTTAATGGGAGTTTTATTTGAACAGTGAGAGACAGGAGAACAACAGAAAAAATCCAGAAAAACGCATGTCAAAAATTTTATAAATTGATTTGCATTTTAATGAGGGAAATGAGTATTTGACCCCCTCTCAATCAGAAAGATTTCTGGCTCCCAGGTGTCTTTTATACAGGTAACGAGCTGAGATTAGGAGCACACTGTTAAAGGAAGTGCTCCTAATCTCAGCTTGTTACCTGTATAAAAGACACCTGTCCACAGAAGCAATCAGATTCCAAACTCTCCTCCATGGCCAAGACCAAAGAGCTCTCCAAGGATGTCAGGCACAAGATTATAGACCTACACAAGGCTGGAATGGGCTACAAGACCACTGCCAAGCAGCTTGGTGAGAAGGTGACAATAGTTGGTGCGATTATTCGCAAATGGAAGAAACACAAGAACTGTCAATCTCCCGCAGCCTGGGGCTCCATGCAAGATCTCACCTCGTGGAGTTGCAATGATCATGAGAACGGTGAGGAATCAGCCCAGAACTACACGGGAGGATCTTGTCAATGATCTCAAGGCAGCTGGGACCATAGTCACCAATAAAACAATTGGTAACACACTACGCTGTGAAGGACTGAAATCCTGCAGCGCCCGCAAGGTCCCCCCTGCTCAAGAAAGCACATATACATGCCCGTCTAAAGTTTGCCAGTAAACATCTGAATGATTCAGAGGACAACTGGCTGAAAGCGTTGTGGTCAGGTGAGACCAAAATGGAACTCTTTGGCATCAACTCAACTCGCCGTGTTTGGAGGAGGAGGAATGCTGCCTATGACCCCAAGAACACCATCCCCACCGTCAAACATGGAGGTGGAAATATGCTTTGGGGGTGTTTTTCTGCTCAGGGGACAGGACAACTTCACCGCATCAAAGGGACGATGGACGGGGCCATGTACCGTCAAATCTTGGGTGAGAACCTCCTTCCCTCAGGGCATTGAAAATGGGTCGTGGATGGGTATTCCAGCATGACAATAACCCAAAACAGCCAAGGCAACAAAGGAGTGGCTAAAGAAGAAGCACATTAAGGTCCTGGAGTGGCCTAGCCAGTCTCCAGACCTTAATCCCATAGAAAATCTGTGGAGGGAGCTGAAGGTTCGAGTTGCCAAACATCAGCCTTGAAACCTTAATGACTTGGAGAAGATCTGCAAAGAGGAGTGGGACAAAATCCCTCCTGAGCTGTGTGCAAACCTGGTGGGCAACTACAAGAAACGTCTGACCTCTGTGATTGCCAACAAGGGTTTTGCCACCAAGTACTAAGTCATGTTTTGCAGATGGGTCAAATACTTATTTCCCTCGTAAAAATGCAAATCAATTCATAACATTTTTGACACGCGTTTTTCTGGATTTTGTTGTTATTCTGTCTCTCACTGTTGAAATAAACCTACCATTAAAATTATAAGACTGATCATTCCTTTGTCAGTGGGCAAACGTACAAAATCAGCAGGGGATCAAATACTTTTTTTTCCCGTCACTGTAAAACGTTGAGCTTTATAAGGGCACCACGGGGTGACCAGCCCCTCCCCACCCAGCCCCTCCCCATCGTCCCCTCTCCACCTAGCCCCCCACCCCTCCAAATTTTTGGATGCAGGATGGACGGACGGACACAATAACCCCCCCCCCCCGTTGGCTGCTGGTGTAACAACCGGGGAGGTTCCTACACAGCATAAACTCCACTCTCTCCACAGCCGCCCCATCACCAATGGGGAGTTGAGTTTTCCGATGACACGGTAGCCACAGGCGCTGGGTGGGGCCCATGGCAAGACCCCCAACCACCTCTCGGTCGCAGGCTCCAGGTTCATCGGCAGCTGCGCCTCCCCAACTCCTCCTCTGAGTGGGCCGGCAGCAATGGCCGCGTTGTCGGCGTGCGTAGCACGGTGGACCAATCGGGAAGCGGTATCCCTCCCACCGCACCCCGCGGTGGGAGGTTGGGCATCGATCGGCCTCCCGTTTTATCGACCGTACCGGATGGAGGTTCCCTCCGGTGCACGGGCCACGGACGGAAGTCTCTCGGGATTCCCCGTGGTCGGCAAAAAGAACAAAGTGTGTTGAGACGCGTTGTGGCCGGAGGGGAACATCTCCCCACCCCCCCCCAGGGCTCGACCTACGGCCCAGCCATAAGGGTGGCTCCATCCCAGGCCGTGCGTGCGATCCACCAACCCCCTCGCTTCCTCCACGGCGCCGGGTTGATGAAGGACACTTGGCCCGCAGCAGCGGCGTAGCCGTCGGACGCCGATTGTCAAAACCGTTTCAGAGTTTTTGTGTTGAGCCGCAGATGACCAAATCGGCGAGCGCGATCCACCAACGCCCTCGCTGGACGGCCAGATTTTACGGACGGATCGTTGAAGCGACCCAAACCCCTCCTCCCCGCCTCTTACGGATAATGCAGTAAAACCTCGTGGATTGCGAGTAGCTTGGTCTGCGAGTGTTTCGCAAAGACGAGAGAAATTTTTTAAAATGAATATTAACTTGATAAACGAGCGAGGGTTTCTTGCAATGCGAGTAGCAGTGTACGCGTTGTGCTTCCGAGCGTCACGTGATCACACAACCGGTACACGTTGTGCTTTGATGTACGAGTGCTTTGGATTGCAAAGCACGTTTCCGGAAGCGGATTGTGCTTCGCCAGCCAAGGTTTTACTGTACACTAGTATATGCTGCACTATACTCTACACTACACTATACACTACACTATACACTACACTATACACTACTATACAACATTACTATGTACCACTACTATACACTACATTACACTACACTACTATACATTACTCTACTATACACTACACTATACACTACACTATACAATACTATACACTATACTATACACTACACTATACACTACACTATACACTACACTACTATACACTATACTATACACTACATTACTATACACCACTACTATACACTACATTACACTACGCTACTATACACTACTATACACTACACTATACACTACACTACTATACACTACACTATACAATACTATACACTATACTATACACTACACTATACACTACTATACACTACTATACACTATACACTACACTACTATACACCACACTACTATACACTACACTACTATACACTACACTACTATACACTACACTATACACTTCACTATACACTACACTACTATACACTGCACTATACACTTCACTATACACTACTATACACTACACTACTATA